CTGACAGGAACCTGTGCCTGCACTCATCCTCTGTGGTGATCAGCTAGAAGTAGTTGAGAACTTTAAGTACCTCGGGAGCTTGATCGCAGCTGGTGGGGGTGTTGGAGAGGAGATCACATCACGAATAGCGAAAGCTAGGGCAGCTTTCACCAACCTGTTACACCTGTGGCGCCGCCATGACAATCGACTGTCCCTTAAGCGAAGGGCGTACATCGCCGCGGTTCGTAGCGTTCTACTTTACGGTTACGAGACCTGGCCCCTCCAAGCGGAATATGCCAATCGACTTTCTGTATTCGAACATCAATGTCTCCGGACTATTGGTCGTGTCTGGCAGGAACATCGAATGAGCAATGACCAGGTTCGTCGTCCTGTATTGGGTGTGGATAGTCGCTCTCTACCAGAAGTAATCGCTCTAAACCGCCTCCAATGGCTTGGTTACGTTTTGCGCATGCTTGTCCATAGACTATCTTTCCGTGCTCTCTTTTCACGTGCCGCGCAAGGCTGGGAGAAGCGCCACGGGGGTCAGACCATAATATCGTATAGACATTTGAAGAAGCTGATTTTAGCTTGGGCTTCGGTTGGTGCAGCCCGCCTTCCAGGTCGGGGCCCAAGAGATGAGGATTGTCGTTGATTAGAGACGCTGAGAGAGATATGGCCCAGAATAGAAGTCAGTGGTGCAAATACTGTGCGGTCTGCCTGTTGAAATCTCATACCCCACAAAAAAAGACAAATTAACACACATACACACATTTCAAAATGTGTACGGTTAAATTCACAAAATATTTGTTGTTCCAGTTGTAGACTACTACTGCTAATACTTTCCATAATAACTGTTTCATCTTGTTTTCACTCTCTTCTATTTCCCAATCCATCCATCCCATGTTATCATTATTGTTATTGTTTTTGTCTGCAAGTGTTAAATACATATATATATGTATATATATTTAATAATAAGTAGTGTACGATTGACCGGACAAAATTTCCCTGGAAGCACACGACCGATTTCGCGATTCTTGACCCTCATCAGGCATGTGTATCCGGTTGTATTTTGTCGGTTCATTCATATACCTGTGCCCAGGAAGTGTATTTTCGTCACAATAGCCTTGTTTGCAAAACTGGGTAATACTTGGATTGACGGGTCTTTCAGAGCCAGTCCATTGAAGAATCAATACTATATATATATGTGTATGTATTAACAATGGTAAAGTTAATAATTATAATATAACTTAATAGTTAAATTAAAAAGACTGGTTCATCATTTCGATTGAGTTAGTGACGATTAACTGAAGACTACTGTTAGTTCGATCGGTAGTTGTTAACACTCGATCAGCAGCTCATGATCTTGTAAACCATCAACAGTGGGTAGGTCCTTGAACCATTCTTATCAGGCCTGGATTAAAAGGTCAGAAGCAACTCATTTGTAGCCGGAAATAATTGATGACAGTCAGACGTCTGCATTACTCTCCCAAATAAAATCCCCTGTTATTCACGTCGAGAAAACATAAACAAATCAATGCTGATCGTCAAACTAGATCATCACTTCTGTTTTCCTCTTTTTGGCACACTCCGTATGTATCCCCGGCTCGCGCGCACGCGTACGCACTCACACACACACACACACACACATTGTTGGACACCACACTGGCACCAGCAACACGCCACCATTGCCGAGTTGCACAACTATCGGAATCAACAGACCCAAATGACCGAATACGTGGACTCGCATCGTGCCGCGGTGGAATCGGTTTGTGAACTGGGTCGACAACTGGTTCGAGTCCGTGTGCCCGGAATGGAACGGATCGAGTTGAAAGTGTACGCGGTGAATCAAAGGTGAGCAAATGTAACCCCGCAAACACACACAAAATTGTTTGCCATGTGAAGTGCACTGTAAAGAGAGAGAGACAACTAAATGTAAAGCTGGTTGATAAGATCCAAGCCAACCCCCACCACCACACATTATAAATCACTTCACTGGAATTTGATATTCTTTTGGGAGAGGGATTGACTGACCTGGATCTGATTCACCTTCACAGCAGAACGTTTCCCGTATCACAATTTAAAAAGAGGTCCCAGGTTGATCCAAATCTCTCGTGATGCAGCATCACGTTTGATCTCTTCTGATCAAATTTTCCTCGCCAGTAAAGTCGTGGTGACATACCAGTCAACCGTAATCGCATTCACGCTACCCGACTGACAACGGGAACACTTAAATCATTGAAAAGCTGATAACTACTGGACAGCAGCTACTTCGACGTGGTTGGGTCTCACCCATGCAGAGCGCTAATCCATCAACCCAACCAACTGGGGACCGCAGCCGGGACCTCACAGGTAGAACGCAAGCGTGCTACTCACTCGGCCACCGATGGGCAGTTAATCAGACCTTTTCTCATTTTTCATTTACACGGTACAGTGCAATCCATCTTTTCGAGTATTTTGCTGTCTATCTCAGCACTAGCATCCAGTGTGTGTTATGATGAATTCATCGTGTAAATGAAACGAGAGCTGAACAGATTGAAATCACCACTAGTGGTAGTTGTAGCCCTGATCAAAACAAATGACACTGTTTAAGTGTTTGAGGCTCTTCCATTCTCAGGGCAAACAGTTCACAATCGGCTATCAGAACCGGTTGACTGACATAAATCAGACAAAAAAGTGTATACCCAGTCCCTGACACCATTCCATCTCATAAGTAAGGTAAGCTGAATGACAAGCTGAACAAACAGATGGCAACCTTTTCTCTGTAGAAAATTCACCAGGTCATCCACTCAAATGAAGATCCAGAAACGGAGAGAGTATTTGTTCTCTCTAATGGGTCCGTTCGAAACCCGGTTTACGTATGTGTTCCACTCTAAGTCTGATTCAATATAATCCAGGTTGGGTGCTCTTTGTGAGGCATGCAAAAGACATCCTGTACACACTGGTGATAGTCTTCAAAACAACTAATAGCTTTGGATAAGACAGTTTTTTCCAACTTTCAGTCAGGAAGATGAATTATTACATGAAGATATCACAATAAAAGTGCCACTGAACGGACCTTTGAATAAAACGTTCTTTTAGAGTACAAAGTGAAAATGCAAATTGACTGATTTTTAAAAAACAATCCACAGATTTTAGATGCCTTATTGTTCAAGCGGAATCAATAGCCCATTATTTCTAATCTCATGGTAACACAATTTCTACTTATGCAGTTCATGCTTAGGGGTGAGCTGTCCCTGATTTCGTGGACTCTTTCAAATGAACTGCTCGGGTATTTACCCAATTCAGTGAGCTTGCCGTAGCAAGTATAGAGAACCAATTGAGAGATGTTTGGTTGCCAGTATCTTAGAACTCGTCCCAATCGGTTTAGCGCTCAGTGACTCGAAGATTCCTGTCATCTCTATTGCTCGCTGTATACTTATTGGACTGTACTCTTAGCATCGATCCAAAGCAAGTATTCCGGGTGTTGAGTCAACAGAAAACTGGACAGATGTTATGGTTTACTGAGACCGTAGACATTCGGCATCGCAAATCAGATCTCTGCAAACAGCTAGACTTTGCGGCCAGCCTTACTCTATCATAGTAGAGATGTCACCGTGGTTTCGATCGATAAGCATATTCTCTCACTCTTTCTTTCTGTTCAACCCGAAAGTTCCATGTGATCTTTGATCTTGGTATTGATTTCTGCCTATTTGAATATTTTTCATGTTTAAAGATTTGTCACTGTGCTTGTAGAAGAGATATGAAATTTCTCAAAAGAACTGGAAGCAGAACACATTATTTTTATTCATTTACTTCGATTTTGTCTGCCTTGACTCACCATCCCGTTTCTTGGCAATCATTCCATCAGATTTGTCAATCTTTGTGCGGCGGACCGGGATCGGAGACGTTTGATACATGAGTGGATCACACTACGGGACATGTTACAAGAAATGGAATTGGTACGTTGCTTCAATACCTTGTCCTATGCCATTCCCTCATGAGATTGTTACACCGGACAGTGTTTGATTAGTTGCTTGACTGATTGTTTGAGTGAGTGAGTGAGTGAGTATGTGAGTGAGTGAATGAGTGAAGGAGATTTCATAGCGCATCCAAGACTGCGGAAAGTGATGACAAACGATAGAAACCATGTGCTCAGTGGGAAAGAGACAAGAAATTATCATATCATCAGAAGACATAGGTGGGCAGAATTGATATTGGCCATCAATTTCACGTGCTCTCATTCAGCTGTAAACGCACGTTTATATGATCATGTGAAACGAGTTGAAATGGGTCATTTGAACCAAAGTGTTGGACAAGTGAGTCGAGTGATTGGTTAGGGGTTGAGGTCAAGTAAGATGAGAAAATTTGATATGGCTTGAACTGGACCAAATGATGTGGTGAATGTGGTGAACTAAGGAGGGGGAGGGAAGGTCATGTCACGTCATACTACGGTAGGGTGGTATCAGGTGTGATATCATCACTACCATGACAAAAATAGTTGCGTCACAAATGTTTTTTGAACACATAATTGCGGTTTCAAGTGATGAATAATTATCGCTTCTGAGAATCGCAAAGTCCGTGAACTTCGAGGCCTTGCAATGACTTGAAACGCTTTGAGTGCGTCTACGTGGTGACCGGAATCTAACAAATGATGGGCAATCGCGCTATAGATGGTAATTTCCCACACACATTCTGGTTGATAAGTGACGTTCTATCCTTCCGATAAACCGCTGACCGCAAGTACATTGAAATGAATAGATGCAGTTGGAGGTAACATTAACGTCCTTTCGATCCAGATTAGTGCGTGTGAGACAACGAAACGTTCCGTAGACAATCATTAGTCTTGTGACATTGTGTGTCCTTTCGACGGCGTGTGTTAAACGTCGAGTTATCCTTGTTGTCACATTATCTCCCTTGAAAGGCAGTTCCATATGGACATCTTTCTTCTTAGCCGATAGGGAAATAGGCTTGGTGTCGATTAGCTTGCTGTACTTGTGGATGAATGCGATGGGATAACCATTGTCTATCAAGGTATTAGTCAGTCGGTCCAGTTCATGTGGCAGGACGTGCGGACTGCATAGTCGGCGAACCCTGTGAAACAGAGTGCGTACCAGACCACGCTTGTATCCCACAGGGCAGAAACTCCTGAAGTGTAAATACTGTCCTGTCCGTGTAGGCTTTCGGTACATAGATATCTGTAGCTTACCGTCTGACATTCGATTGAGTGGTAAGTCAAGGAATGGAAGTCTCGATTCCGATTCACATTCTAATGTCAGTTTGATGTTGAGATGTAATGAATTCAACTTGTGAAATAATGCCATGATATCTGTTTCGTTGCGCGCAATAACTAGTGTACCATCAACATACCGCCGATAAAGTAGGGTTGAATTCAAATCACCTTCCAGTTTGTTATATAGTGTTGACCGGAAGATATCAGCAAGAATAGGTCCCAAAGGGCTACCCATAGTTACACCATCAACCTGTTTATAGATATTTTCATTGAAAACAAACTGTACGTCGCGGACGCATAAATCCAGTAGGGTTTTCAAATCACTGGTGAGGAAACCTATTTCATTGGCATGTTTACATACTTCGTTAACAGCTTCATCGACCGGGACATTTGTGAACAATGAAGTAATATCGTAAGAGGCAAGAAAACAATTACGGTAATCAACGTCTGGTATTGCTTCTTTTAATTGGAATGTATCCTTCAGTCCGAACTTCCACAGTTTGGTACTAATTGGAGCAATCACCTTCGCCAACCATTGTGCAAGTTTGTGTTGGGGAGAGTTAACCATCGATAGGATTGGTCGTAATAGGATCCCCCGTTTGTGCGATTTCGGCAATCCATACATTCTTGCTATATGTGAACCCCAGGGTCTCAGTTTAACGAACGTGTTTGTGTCGATCACACCTTTCTTCCAGAGTCGCTTTAACGTAGCATAGACTGCTTTTTCCAAAGTTTCAGTTTTGTCTTTTGCTTTTGAATTAAGTTGGAAACGAGTGTGATCTGTAAGTATTCCCTCCATCTTTTCGACATAATTGTCCTTATTGAGAATGACGACTCCAGAACCTTTATCTGGCTTAATAAGCAAAATTGACTTGTTCCGTTTCAGTTCTTTTATTCCGTTAATGTGATCTTTTGACAGTAGATTATGATAGCACGTTTGGGAAACACGGAACTGGTGAGCCAAGTCTACAAGTCTAGCTTTTAACCAACTTCCTGATTCAGTTGTACATAGTGTTAATTCTTTTAACTGGTCTGCAAGGTTCTCAAACTCTGCATCTACTTCGAAACTCTGAGGCTTCTTATCGGTTCAAAAAATTGAAACCCAGTGATGAAGCTTCCAGTTGCAGTCGATTTAATGGAAATTGCGATAAATTATGGACGTACTTTCTGGGTTCTTTTGGAAACTCATCTGTGGTAACCGCCTCTGATAACGATTTCAATAGATCCTTGAGCCGACATCGGCACTGCAGTTCGCGGCTGAATTTATAGAATTTGATTCGACACACAAGGCTGAGACTATTCAAAGTGGCGTACATAGAGGAAATCTTCTGTCTGAGTTGGTTGAGTGTTTCAACAGTATGTTCCAAGTGGGACTTCGTTAAACGCATAAGGTTCCTTCGATTAAGTGGTAATTTATTCCGGCGAAGAGATTTCGTAAACTGACGAGGAAACATGTCACTGTGCAAACAATTCCGCAGAAATTCGGCACGAGCGATTTCACGAGTCACACGACAACGAACGTTCAACAGTATATGCAAACATTTGACCACATGAGCTGGGAGGTGCTCTTTGAAATATGTGAAACATCCTTTTCCCTTTATCCATTTCATCAACATCAGAAGACATATATGGGCAGAATTGATATTGGCCATCAATTTCTGCCCATCAATTCTGCCCACATATGTCTTCTGTTGTTGATGAAATGGATAAAGGGAAAAGCATGTTTCACATACTTCCTCAGATCGCTTGGTAAATTTCTTCTTTGGTTATTTTATCAGACAGGTGGATTTAGTCCTTAATAGTGCTAGTTTTTATCACTGTTTCTACCGCAAATTCGTTTAGTTCCTGGTAGTTCCACCGCAGTGTGGTAAATCCATGCGATCCCGCTCAATACCGAGTCTGTTCAACCTGGATCATCTGCATTTCGCCTGTACGAATCCCATGGTGTGAATCACTGGTTCCCATAACTGAACAATATGTTCTGGTCACCACTGGCTTCGAGTGTTCATCACACCAAGGTTCTGAATATTGCAGTCGGGTCAAGGGAACCCATTATTCTGTCTGCATTGGTTGATTTATGCAGAAGTTTTAAAATAGAATGTTCTGAGGAACCGATCAGGTTGAGATTGCGTTTTCACTCTTTACAAGTTTATTGGTGGTATTCTGGGTTAAAAGACTATAACTTGTAGTGAAATTCCTACTGTGACAATTTGGTCGATCGTAGAATGCTGAGGTTGGCTTTGTTTAGTCATGATCTTTGTTAAGCGATGTATTTTTTTATCTGTTTAATCTTTTCAGTGTATACCGTATCCGTCTATAGTTAAACCTTATTAGGTGTATAGTTTACATGGTTAGTCAGTCATTTTGTTTGGTTCATTGATTGTCAACTCTGACTCCGTCTTCTAAGCTAGTCTTGTTTGTGAATTGCCACAATTGATCGTTTGACTACCATGATGTGCTTATCTTGTTTTCAGATCTGTTGTTGGTGTTGTTGTCTCTTATGCGTTGAGACTGACCATTTATTTAGATGTCGCCGCCGTCATTCCTTCTATTCTATTTGTATTGTTCTATTCAGGTATTGACTAAAATGGTCAGTAAATAATATGAAATGGCATAAAACCTGCTTGTTGGAAAGACTTTTATTCCTGAGAAGATGAGATTGTATCAGCAAACTTTCCCCCATAGTTTTAGGCCATCACGACGAGACTGCACCTTGACGTGGTGTGATGGCTTGCGCGCCTCAGTGACCCTGCGAGCTACACAGGATGGCTTCTCACAGCCTGAAAGGTCAACGGGTAGAGGCCAGACGAAGACCAGTCTCACAAGGCCAGCTGCTTGGGCACCNGAGAAATTCGATGAAGCAGCAAAAGTCTGCTCAGAATCATTCCGGAATCAGCAAACGTGGGAGGAATACGTGAGAAAATTTCTGCGTTCTGGTCATCTACTGGTAAGTTTTACTCCGACCCCTTTATATTGTGGATTTCATATTAGACTACTTTATCCTATTTAAGTAACGGAACAAAAAACTATAAAGAACAGAGAACTTCGCGAACCTGACTGGCGTCTGTCAATCGAGACATTTGA